AGTTCTGCCACATTTAATACCGGTTTCATTTTTTCAAGCCTCCTAATTAAGATATCTAATGTAGACACGCTTTGTTCGTCGTATAACTGGTAAATTTTACGCCGTATTATATCTCGATCACTTTCATCTACACTCGAGAAAATGTCAGCATCGCTTCTTTTTTTCTTCGCTGAAATGGGATTATTCCCAATTTTCCATACAGTTGCTTGCTTGCTGGCACCATGTTCAATGAGAGTCAAATAAACATTGTTTATAACTTCCTTAGTTTCAATAGAATAGTGTTTTTACATTTTGGGCAAGAGCATCTCCTAAGATACACTAGACTCGCACATATTTTGCATAATTCGCACACGATTCAACACACGCTGTATTACATACAAAATAAGAATAATTATTAACAAATTTAAACTAAGTAGTATAAAAAACCAACACAGGTAGGTATAAACTTATTTTCTATTACGGATCACAATTTTACCTGAATTTAAATTCCGAAACTTTAGGTAATAATCTTGTTGCATTGTATGTTAATGACCACCCTTGGCTAATCCCATTCAAAAGCAATTGTTCACTTTCTTATATCTATGAACAGACCATACTTTTGGGGTGCCGTAGTATGCTAAGAGACCATTGTTATTTGTTTGTCTTCGAATTTCTATTTTGGGGCAGTGCAAAGTAATTCTTTTCAATATCCTCAGATGCAATAATCCAAAAGATGTGTGGCCGTACTTATAGTTGAAGTCTTAAATTAAACTCAAGACGTCTTGGCCAAGAAAGTTGCAAACAGCGCTTGCCTTGGTTGATCATCATTTTGTTTTGTATTTTGTGTGCTGAATGTATTGAAAAAACATTTTATTTAAAATAAAGATCCCTAACTTCCATTAATTTAGTAGTGTATTAAACATGACCTCAGGTAAGTACTACAGGGGATTTTAGCAAAACTTTCTTTAAAGTTTGAAAAAAATAGTTAAAAAAGTTATTTGCTGACGTCATTACTGGACAAGCACAACAATATGCTAGAAAACAAAGAAACGCACTCATCTTCGATTCAAGAGAAGTATCAAGAATGGTAAAAAAATTTCTGCGGAATATAATGTTCAAACCTGATAGGCGTCAGGCGAACTGCTGCACAGTTGAAAAAATTGTGCATTAATTTAAAACAAAGGTAACTTTAATCAATACAGATTTAACATTATTTTTAAAAATTCCTATAAAAATTATCTCTGAGTAAGGTCCAAAGTAAAACTATACTGAATACTGAAATTTTTATTAGTAATAATCGGACCATTTGTTAATCTGTATCCACCTATTTTAAAACTAATGTATTTTTAATAGTTTTAATAGTTAAAGGTTTTATTGTTTTTCTAAAGGGACTCCACTGACAAGAAAGAAAACAAGACCAGGAATCTATCACTTATGACAAATATCTTTTTTTGTAGGAAAAGGGACATGACAAAGGAGTTAAAATACCAACGACTGGTAACAACCCAACATTTTTGATTCTTTTGAAATATTACCGTACCGTAAACAAGTTAATAATTAAATTAAGGCTACTATAGGTAAGCCTCTATTGTTTACACGAGTAAAACGATCAAAAATCAGAGGTAATAAAATTTTCTTTACAATAAATTTTGGGTGTTCTAATATTATCGTGCGTATCTCCACGAAATCCTGAATATCTTGTGGGTCCATTTTTTCAATAAGAAAAGAAATCTCACGCGACACTACGTAGACAAACGTAGAATTAAAATAGGTTAATTCATGTTAGCAATTGTTCCTGCAAAAACAAATATTACTAAACAGTCATTGCTTAGCCGATAATGCACGAAAATTGAACTGTGGTATAAACACACTCTCAAGTATTGAATATTGCTTGGCTAAGCTAGCCTCAAGTTCGAGATCGAGATCGAACTATTTTCCGCCATATTATTAACCTCATATCTCATTTAGATTCGACCTGTATATAATAAACTACCTTTAATTTGAAACAAGGAATCGCCTTCTTCAGGTTTTCGCATTTGTTTTGAAACACCCTGTACACCTTAATATTATGCTTGTGTTCTTTGCTACAGTGGTGCAATGGATCGTCTTATCGAATATTTTTGCAAAAGAAATGTTTAATTAACTTGTACTATAAATACATACGTACTTTGATGTAATGTAATATATCAAATGTACGAAGAGCATGCTCCTATATCATTAAAAATTTTAATGTTTCTGTCATGGTTGCCGTTAGCAATAATCAAAAATAAGTAATATTTGGCGCGTCACCAAAACTGCCCGATTCAGCAACAGGTCGATTTGTTGAAATAAAAGGCAGTATTTTTACACACAACCCTTTAATTCAGTAAACTCACCAAATTAGTAAAAAAAACAAGTAACGTAAAAAAATATGTACAATAACAAAGATAGATAAGTAGTGATAAGTTATAAATTCTACAAGCAAAGCCTCGAATTCGTAAAAAAGAACTCGTCTGAAAAAATTGGCTTTCGATGCCTGCCAAATCCTCAACGATACTAAAGTCCTAAAATTCAGTTTTCTAAAAAGTAAAACACATCTGTTTAACTCACTACTTCAAAAGCCACTTGAACCATGCCCTAGGAGGAACCCTTGTTTTCGGTAATAAATTAATAGACAAGTGGTCGCTAGGCCGATCGTCACCATCAATAAAAATCATAAACTTTGACTTTTGAATAGGATTGAGAAAAAACATGTGCATCTTAAACTGAAATTCCTCTTATTGTAAAAAATACCATAAAATTGTTCCCTATAAATATTTACTGGCTCTAATAATATTCTTTATACAGAGTGTCTCATCCTTATTCTATTCTTATTCTATAAATAGTATTGCGGTAAGTTTCCAGCAAGCACGCACAAGCTTAAACATAGGTTTAAACATAGACTTTAACATACAAAAAAAAAGCTTTATAATTTCCTTAATTCCGTTACTATTTAATATAAATGTAAAATGTAAAAACTTTTCCTTTCACAAATCTTATATTCGTTGATAGTAAACTGTCGAAGGAAAACATTGCTCCGTACAACGTGCGTTTAAAAAAACTACAGCACTTAACACTACAAGATACTACGATTAAGGTTATACGTGCCTGCCTATTCGACGAGTGTGGCAAAATGCCATTTGGCCAGTTATTAAGTCGGTAGGCCAGACCGAAAACGTGTAATTAAATCGCTGTTCGTTTTAAACCGAATCGATCTACTTTTTCCCCATCAAGGACAGTTAAGTTTCAATTGTTATCGTGTTCTTAAACGAATGACGTTTCAGTTTGCAGAATATTGTCTTCTTTGGGAAGAAGGGAAGAAGACATTTGAGAATCATTATCGACTGCCACAATTTAACATGTAGTCTGCCTTAGTTACAATTTACTCTTCACCGAATATATAAAAATTCTTACTCAACGTACCTTAAGCGACGGTGCTCCAGTTATTTTTTAAGTACCAAAATGAAAGTACCGTTGTGCGAGCTCCTCTCTCATTTTTATTATGCAAAGACATCAGAAATAAATTAAAATTTTTAACACACACACACACACACATATATATATATATATATATATATATATATATATATATATATATATATATATATATATATATATATATATTTTTGTCTAGGCACAAATTTGTTAGTATATTTATTGCAATGGGAACAGTAGATAGTGCTAAACTGGATTTTAGTTGGATAGGATGATATTTGGTTCATCAGGGTTAATTTTCAATAGACTTAGGCTAGACTTCGCACTGCATATATATATATATATATATATATATATATATATATATATATATATATATATATATATATATATATATATATATATATATGTGATGACACTATACTCCGGGATATCATCCGTTCGCTCGTTGAACTCCGACTGGAATCCTGCAAATCCTGCATCCGACTGGAATCCTGCAGACGTTTCGCCAAAATCTCACTTGGCATCTTCAATGCTCGCGCTCCGAAAACACTTCGAGTGTTCGAAGTGTTTTCGGAGCGCGAGCATTGAAGATGCCAAGTGAGATTTTGGCGAAACGTCTGCAGGATTCCAGTCGGATGCAGGATTTGCAGGATTCCAGTCGGAGTTCAACGAGCGAACGGATGATATCCCGGAGTATAGTGTCATCACATTTTTCCATCCGTGAATCAATACGTGAGAATATATATATATATATATATATATATATATATATATATATATATATATATATATATATATATATATATATATATATATATATATATATATATATATATATATATATATATATATATATATATATATATATATATATATATATATATATATATATATATATATATATATATATATATATATATATATATATATATATATATATATATATATATATATATATATATATATATATATATATATATATATATATATATATATATATATATATATATATATATATATATATATATATATATATATATATATATATATATATATATATATATATATATATATATATATATATATATATATATATATATATATATATATATATATATATATATATATATATATATATATATATATATATATATATATATATATATATATTTAGAGCACATTTATACTTTTGTGAATAAAGCTAATTATTCAGTAAGCAATAATATCCTTCTGTCTTTAGTACGATGCTAAATGGTATATTTTAAAGAGACAGATGATAATATGTGGTTGATGACGGCGCTGACATCTTCTTGATATGTTTGTAGCCTATTTAATAGCCCAGAGTGATTCAAAATCATTCAAACTAATAATTAACGATTAATAAACGATTCATTTTAATTTTACTTCATAATATTTTCCAAATGCAGTCTCATAATTCAGCTGACATCTTGTAAATGGTTAATTGCTTGCAATGCTGATGCATGTAATATAATAAACTGTATCTGGCATCGCCGCAAACATTGACAGACCCCTTCCCTAATTAAACGTCTACGATCTAACCTTACCTAGGCCCCACGCACACCAGTCTCCGCCCCTCTTTGATTTTGACGGCCTGCGCGATAATCTTTTGTCTCCGGCCTGCGGAGACTAGCATGGCGGTCGAATGCAGGCCGGGACTCGGCAACGTAGGTACGCCGAGACCGCCATATTGGCCCTTGATGATTTTCACGACCGCTGGCAGCTGGTACTTGGTGACGTATTCGCGCAGATAGTTTCCCTCGTCCGCCCATCGGGCAGCAGCCACTGTGATCTGACCGTCGGTTGCCGCCATCTTGACATTACTCGTGTTTCATCTCTGGAAAGAAATCAGAAAATCATTGTCAATAGTCACTAAATATCGAATGGTACTGATAAAAGTGTCATAGAGCAGAATGGCAAAATAATGTTCGCGAACGCCACTGTAAGGAAATCGATTATACGGCAACACCGCGTTGGGTGTTGAATGTAAACGCAGCGAGCTACCGATACAATGTTGTACACTCGCAACGTACAAATGATAGTTAAGGAAGTACGAAGGAAGATCAAGCGGCCACGTTCATTTTTAAAATTCTCTTATAATTAAGCACAGTATTAATACGTTAGTAAATGGTTTGGAATGAATTGTTTTCGCGTCTGTAAAGTGGTTGGACAGTTCTCATCTGATCTTGATTTTAATCAGGACGGAACGCACTGTACGTACACTCGCAATGTATTGTAATTGAAAGCTGCGATTGGTTTTAGTTGATGTTACTTTTTGTGCGTTTGTTAAGAAGCAAACTAACCGAAATTTAGCAACGTCGTAAGTCTTGTTAACGAACCAAAATGTCGGAATTATCTACATAACCTTGTTCCTAAATCGTTAAAATTTATCGGTAATCGGCAGAGACACGTGTAAAGGCGTAATTTATTAAATTATAGTAACGCGGTGCCAAAAGAACTAAAACAAAAATTGATAAATAGCGGTGCGTATAATAAATATGGACGCGTGTAAAATCTGGTAAACTGAACACTCGGTTGGAGGTTGTTTTAATTATTTCAATTTGTTCTTAACGGTAATCATTACCAATTAAGTTCTGATTCTATTTACATCTCGCTCGGAAAATTAATATATGAGTTTTAAAGCCGAAGAAACTAATTTATTGGCGAAAAAAAAAACACACAACACTGTTGTTTTTAAGTAGTCTTCCTAAACTAATTGTGAAAAGGAAAAACTCTCATAACAGGCATAGTAATATGATTTATTATTTCCGTCCTCTTTTTAATGCGATGTACAAAAAATAGAACGCAAATGAACACATGTTGGACAGTCTACAATGAAGGTTCAGACCAAGACCTAAGCAAAAGTTTAGGCTAATACGTTCCGTTTTATGAGCAGAAGTTGGTTTGGTTGCTATCCTAGAACTGTTCTGATACTGTGTGTTTCCATGCCTCTCCATACTTTTGACTTCACTGCATCTACACGATTTTCAGCCGAGTAAAAATCATACCAATTCCGGAGAATTTTCCACCAGCAGATTTAACGAAAAATGAGGACGGTCGAGTCATCATTGCAATTTTCAGCAGTAGAAACGACATTTGGGTTGCTCAAGGACATCGTGTAAAAGCATCTATTTGTTGAGTGGAGACTTTTAGTGTTGGTTTAGAACCAAGTTGGACTGATTTCGGTAACATCAACTAAGAAATTATTATTTCGGACTCCCGAAGGGCCCTTAAAAATATTTGCAAATTATCTTTGCCTGTGTTGGAAGGCTTAACGCGTCATAATAGTTCACACTTTGATACGTCTCCTACTAAGCCTTGTTTTCACAAGTTAGTTAGTAGCCTCCTCAGAAGTAACGTAAGTTGCTGCTCGCCTACCCATTTGTGATTGTGGTGATTTGGTGACCCCCATCTCAAAATAAAGCTACAAATATTTCTCGATTTTTGGAAACATGTGGTTTGAAATTGAAGTTAGCACCCTTTCTTTGGTTTTGATTTCGAACTCTATAGGGATTGGCGAGAGATGACAGGATATATCACTCCCTTCTCACGGACCCATCCTTTGAGGGTTTAATACATTCATCAAATTGGCTGTCTTGCGTATTTAAAAAAAACAATACGCAAAGATCTCCAGTTCATTCGCGAACCCCTTTCGTTATTGAAAAGAAAACGGCCAAACCCGACACTGGGGAACGTGGCAATCGAACCAATTTACTTTAATTATCGGCCTGCGTGTGACACAGATTTTTTTGAACAATGCCAAGGCCAAATTAGCGGGAAATGTTTTCAGTGTTTCCGAGATTGCAGCGTGTTGTTTGACTCGAACAAATATTTTTGTCGATTAGATGGGAGAACCCGTTATATACGAACCTAATTTACTTCCCGGTGACTGAATGCGATTGGGTGTTTCGTATTCCGGTGTTGCATCCGGAACAAATCATGACGAGTTAGAAATGGAATTCGTAAACTCGTCCGTTTTTGGCTTCGCTTCGAAAATTTTCCGATAATTGGGGCATATCGATTGCGACGGAAACGCAATCAATAGTACAGGGTGTATTAACTTTTGAAAGCGGGAAGTTTCAAGTAAAAATATTGTGTGTATGGATCGGAGAAGCGATTATAAAAAGAGAAAAGCGATGTACAAACTGTTTTTGTACTTGGGTTCATGAATATTCATTTTTAAATTTGGGTAAACAAATATTTCGTGACCATTTTCTTTTGTAAGGACTGATCCCCGATAGTTGCAGTAATTAATGAGTTAATGATCAGCTTAAAAATAGAAATATTTTTTATTACAAAGAGAGCCTGATGCTTGTGTCAACAACTTAGATACTCAAAAAATGTTAATATTGCACAACAGAAAAGTTGTGACTCACTTACTGTCTCTTTTTAAAATCATTAATCATCTAGCCTTTGACAATCAACATTGAGTTCGGTATAAAGATTAAAATGCTACAGGACTTTTACCACTAAAAGTACCGTTAGTACCAATTACCAGTTAAAATGCCCACACATTGTTTGCAAAATTAGTATAAAATTTATTCCAGCAGTAATAGATTTCAAACTGTAAATAAGGCTTCTTCTTCAATTCACACCCTCTCCCTGAGATTATAACTTTTGAAACTGTAGCACGAAAAATTTCTGTAGCCAAGTCTTTCTATTGCTCTTTTTCCCTGTACTTTTCCCTCTATCATCAACAAAAGTAATTCGTATCCCTCACGTCTTACCACATGAATTGAATATTGAATTGTTCTTTCCTTGATGGTATTCCATAAAAAAATACAAGCTAGTAATAAATAAATAAATAAATAAAAGAAATACATGATTTACAAAAACTCTATATAAGAAAATTCATACTCTTGTTTGTATGTTTTATAATGGCTAAATTTTCCTGTGTGTGGAGCGTCAAGTGATTTTAAATCGATGTTGTCAAACACAAATTCTGAAAAATTTAACGTTTTAAATAGATCGCAAATGAAAAGAAGTAAACAAAAAGTGGACAGAAGCTTTATTCCAGGGTCTAAAATACAGGTTACTTTACCACAAAAGAGCTTAAAGCTGGATTTACATAAGCAAATAAAAATAAAAGTAGTAGTTGACCTTATGGGAATCTGTGCCTTCCTTTATACAAAACAAATATAAAAACATTTAGTTTTATTTGCATATTCATCTGGAAACCGAATCGTGCATATTCTTGGACGATGTCGTCGCTATCTAGAAGTTAAACCAAAGACCAGTCCTATTGAAGAAATTGCGATTTAACACATTCATTTTGACTTGCTTTCGTAGCGCATACGGATATAGAAAATTAATTCGCTCTAAATGGCCTTTATATTAAAAACGGAAAACCCCGAGGAGTCTCTCGAGCATCTGTTTTCAAAGTGATCAGAGTTTAGTGGATTTCAACAAGATTTAAAAAGAGCTAAATTAAAAAAAAATAAGTATGATGATGGTACTTCCTACATAAATAAAATTGTTTGTGTTTTAAACATCACTGAACGAAGAAGAGCTAATGGCAAACATCAAAAAATTGAAAAACCGAAAAGCTCCCGGAACAGACCGCATCACACACGCACATTAAAATACTCCGGATCTGAGCTAGGAAAACATCTAAAAATGCTCTACAAGAAAATTTTAGAAACACCGGAAATACCTACGGAATGGCATAAAAGTATACTTAGAAGACGCATCCAGACAACTACAGGGGCATAACTCTGTTGAACATAAACACGAAACTCTTTATGAAGGAAACATTTGAGACAGAAATAACAAACAGAGAGGAACAACAAGGTTTCATTATCAAACAACTAAAAGAAAGGTCAATCGAATATAATACGCCAGCGTATGTCTACTTCATCGATTTGACCAAGGCATTTGATAGGGTTCGCATCTCCGACATATAATGATAGCGACAGAAACGCCAGACACAATCCTAAGAGCAGTCCGCAATCTCAATATCAAAAACATGACTAAAGTAAAGGCCGGAGACACTTATACGGAAGAGATACCGACACCAGGAGGCATCAGACAAGGTGACAGCCTTAGGCCATGTCTGTTCAATCTCTTAATGAACAGAAATATAGAGGAAGTATCACCACTGAATATGGGATATCGAATGGGAGAGAATAAAAGAATCAGCATGGTATATGGTATGATAATGTAGCCCTTTTCACGGAAACGGAGGACGATTTACAGAGACAACTACACAAATTCTGCCAGGTCAGCCAAGTTATGAACATGGCCATATCTACAGAAAAAAACGAAAAACATGACCTTTGCTAAAGAGCCCGTAAGATGTAAGTTGGTACAATCTAAATATCTGGGTATGGATCTGTCGAGTTATCACGACCCAGTGAAGCCAGATAAACAAAGCCACTGCCATCTCGGACTGCTTAAGGCAGATAATAGGGGCGAACGGATACATGCGAAAGGATAGCAAGGTTAGGATTTATAAGACAAGTAACAAGCCAATCACGACATACGGAATAGAAACCAGAGAAGAATCCAACAAAACGAAAACCATGCTTCGAGTAGCCGAAATGGAAACGCTCAGGACTATAGTGGGAAAAACAAGGAGAGACCGAATTAGGAACGCTGATATCAGGGATCGATGTGAGGTGCAAGACACGTGAGAAGAGTGAAAGAGATGAGACTGCCACGCATTGCACTTGAAAGGAAACCAATAGGGAAAAGAGCACCCGGAAGACCACCTAAGAGAAGCCCCAGGAACTGATACGGAGGAACTTACCAAATAACAGATCACGAGATTTTAAATAGGAAAAAAAAAGAAGAAGTTTTGTTAATTTTTCAAAGAAACTTCCGCAGACTACTGTAATA